TTCCAGATTGGAGGGGTTTTTCCCTGTTAGTAACAATCCAAATTCCTATCCCCATTCCCAAGATCTGAATTTAAAAAGTTTTTAAAAAGGTTATATAAATTAATGAGCGGTAAACTAAGAGTTTTAAGAACCTGTATCCAGAGGAAACAGCTTTCATTTTGTACATCTTTTTTGAAAAATAAAAGTTATTTCCAGATATTGATGCTGTCTTAAGTGTGCATGGCTCTTTACAAATTATAGAGTGTGACTGTGTATCATTTTATTTGCTTCACATGACCCTATGAGGAATGACATCTTAATAAGCACCCAATTCTTGTAAGGGAAAAGGAATTCTTTAACACTCCTTTCTATGTATATTGCTTGCAACCTTGTTTTATTAGGCATTATGGTAGGAAATTGAATATGCAGAACAAAAGAATTCAGCGTTAAGGGATACAGCAGAGATATGCACAATGTGGTATGGAGCACCAGGAAGAACTGAGCTGGATCTTAGTCAGATAAAAAGTAAAGTTTGTGCTTGTCATGAGATGAAAATTGTATTATGGACTCCCCAAATTTGGAGATGGTTGGAACTTTGATTTGAGAAAAATGGGAGTACATACAGGGTAATATGAATTAATGAACATGGGATTTTTTCAAGCATGTCATAAATTCAATACTTCCTAAAATTACAATGATATTAAGTAACTTTTACTAGAGAGAGTCTAGAGAAAAGTAAGTTTATACAGAGGAAGCATCTAATTTTTTGAGGCCATTATCTAAAGTGTTAAGTATAATGAATTTGTTTTGATACTATAATACAAATAAAGTTTATAATGATTTGTTCAAGGAATTAAAATGGAAGTGGCAAACTGTAAATACACATTCAAATCCTATATGTTTGAGTGTGCTTTTAGATGCTCACATTAGTTCAAAGTAACAATATCAAAGGCCCAAAATGAAAAGATATCAGATATCATTTAAATCCCCAATATTGAACATTTCACAGCCCAGACTCTATTATAAATAGAGTCTAAAATAGTAAAATTTTTTATCTTAAAGCAAAAAGCAAGTAATAGCAATTTAGAACTCAATTAGATTTGTAGTTTAATTCTCCAGAACTTCTGTCTTCATTTTCTCAAAAGAAGAAAACTGATTCTATCTATTAAAAGGAAAAAAAAAATGATAGGTAGGAAAAGATCCTTCTTTGTCCAGTATTTGATTAAGAATGTTTACTAAATGTTTCTGGAAAATAAAATTTAAGATATTGTAGATAGGATCCCCCCAGGACCTGACTGCCTGAGTTCCTTCAGAAAATCATTGCAGATTGTGATAATTTAAAAGATTGGTTCAGAAAAGTTTGATTAATGGAACATTCTTGATTTGTCTTTTTTTATTTTTTATTTTAGGGGATGACATACAAAGAAATATTAGGAATGTTTGTTTTATAATCTGAAAGATTGGTTTTATTTTTAGGAATGTTCTAAAATGAATTTCTCCAGTGTAGCCTAATTTATTGAGTAGAGTAATAATCATTGCTAATTCTCAGCATTCTGAAAGACAAAATTCTCCTAAATTATTTAAGACAGACAGCCTTGTTCAGAAAGATTTTTCAAAAAGAGGTTGAGTAAAAATTTCCTTTCAAAAAATAACAAGAGGTGCCGAAACCGGTTTGGCTCAATGGATAGAGCGTCGGCTTGGGGACTGAAGGGTCCCAGGTTCGATTCAGGTCAAGGGCATGTACCTTGGTTGCGGGCATATCCCCAGTAGGGGGTGTGCAAGAGGCAGCTGATCGATGACTCTCTCCCATCGATGTTTCTAACTCTCTCCCTTCCTCTCTGTACAAAATCAATAAAAATATATTAAAAAAAAATAACAAGAGGAGTGACTCAGAAAATATGCTTGGATTATTTTTTTTCCTTATCCATTTAATGTTAGTTACATAAGGAGAGTACTTTGAGAATAACATTTGGCTTATGAACATCAGAAAACCTACATGATTGGTCAGTGTGTTTTAAATTCAGAAGATTGAAAGCTAGAGGAAATTGGAAAATACTCTTGCTGTCCAAAAATTAATAGAGTTTACGCAATTTAGTACTGTAAGAGTATTAACATGTCAGGAGTCTGTAAAGCCTATTATAGGAGAAATGACCAGACTTAGAAGAAACAGTGGACTTCAAACTATTTCTGACAAACAGCTTCATAGTTTTGAGGAGAAAAATGTAGTCTATGAATTCTATAGTCACCCAATTGTCAGTCATGTATTAAGTCAGCTGGAAGAAAATATTGAATCATAAAGTCTCAGTATATATATACTTTTGTATTCATAAAATCAGAAAGATATATTCAGAAGAGATCAAATCAACCCTTATGTCTACCTGGTATTCATTATATAGATGGACAAATTAAGTCACAAAAACACAAACATCTATCTATTCATATATATAATTTTTTCTTAGAAAAGAATGAACTTCATACTGTGGAAATTTACCCATTTTTATTACCTTTGATAATAAATTTTAAAAAATCAACAGTCATGAAAAGTATTTGAAAATTTTTTCAAAATCCATTGATAAAAATTGGTATTATTATATAATAGAAATTCCTCACATCTAGCACAAAAATCAGAGTTGTGCCTCAACTAATCTACTACTTTGAAATTTTGTAATAATCTATTAGGGTTTTGAGGCTGAGGATTCTAAATATATCATGTATAAATTAAACACATAATTATGGACAAAACATAAATTATATATACATATATATATGTTGTATATATATACCTACACAACTATATATAAGAATATCTATAACTACACATGTAATAGTTTTTAATATGCATATATATCACATAATAGTTTATAATATATATTATATATATTATATATATTTATAACATATAATATATATAATATATATAAATATATTATAAACTATTATGTGATATATATGCATATTTAACAAGAAAGTATACTGGTCTAAACCCAGTAAATGCTTATGGATAGACATTTGGCCTGATGGCCTTCTTGCAGCCTGGTGGCACAGAACACATGAAAAGAATAAAGTAAATGATTTATTATATGTCAAAGTTATGACTCAAAATATTTCATGTTTCAAAGTAAGGCTCTATTTTTGTCAGTAAACATAATATCATAAACCTAATAGAAAAATTACCTATCTTCTAAGAATGAAGCAAAGCTAGAAATTATCAATAAAAAATTATGCGTGTAGGTTATGCAAGAACTGAACTCTAATCAGTGGCAGTCCTTGGTTTGTAAAATCAAAGGTGCACTTCAATTTTTTCTCTTGAATAAGTTTATATTGTATCTCATTTTAATTTAAATCTATGAACCTAAATGGCCACATAAGCTACCAAGTACAAGGAACATTACTTCATCAGAGTATGCTTTATTGAAATTGTTTAAAATCATCTCAATTTGTAGCACTTGCCAATTTTTGGCATGTAAGTACAAAGAAGGGTAATTTTATCTTGAAGTCATTCTCATATCTCTTTCAAAGTATATCATGCACATTCATTGCTGCAAATTCTATTTTAAAATAAAATAGCATATTCATTTCTCCTGGAGTATACTATATGAGCCATCCTTAAACATGAATCTCAGTTTCTATATCTTAACTAGCAACTCCAAAAGAGTAGCATTGGGTATGACAGGATGACAGTCAGAGACAATTCATACAGACCAAATGATTTGCTCATAATTATTTTATCTTGATTCATACAGTCTAATCCATTTAACTATCTGGCTAACTCTTCTAACTTTCTTTGCTTTATGAATACCATTAGAATAGCTACATATTTGATGATATCCTGGTATACTGGCATTCTAACAACCAACTAGCATACAAAAACAAATGACACTGAATGTGAAGTTGGGAAAAGATGTGCAGACTCTTTCCAGCAGAACACCGTGGTGAATAAATATTTCCTCAAATTTGTGTTTATTCTAATAGTCTGTCAAAATATTCAGAAACTTTTTGGTGGGTTCCAATACATTCCACTAGAGACAATTACAGTAAATGATGTTAACATAATTAAAATTTTAAACAGTAATAGGCAACATTTTATTAAACTCTAAAATGATAAAAACACTCTCAAGTAAGTAATTCATTTAGAGCAAAAATAAAAGAATAGGTTGAGGCTACATTCTGATAAAAAATGCTCATTATAAACAATATCATTGAAAACTTCCAAACTATTATCTGTGCTATGGTTTGGAAAATGCAAATGACTGCATCATCTAATTAACAAGTGAAAATTACCATTGTGCATTTTGAAAATCAAACTGTAATATTTTAGTGAAACTGATCAAATATAAATTTTATGGGACATTAGGTACATCTATAGAGTTCATTATTTTAAAATGATTATGACATAACCATCTGAATGTTATCTAAAGTAGACAGAACCTAGCATAGGAGTTGGCAATTTTTTTACATAAAGGATCAAAGAGTATATGATTTAGGCTTTGTAGACCTACTATCTCTGTTGTAAATACAGTTCTGCTATTGTAGTGGAAAAACACCCATGATCAACATGCAAATTAATGATTTTGGCTGAGCTCCAATAAAACAATGTTTACAGAAACAGCAACAGGTGGATTTTTGCACTTGGGTTGTCCATAATTTGCTGACTTGACTTTAACATACTACGCCATGTTTTTATGGCCCTGATTTCAATATTATTTTTCTTATAATTTATGAAACAACCTCTACAACCAAAGTACCTTTTATTTATACTATTGTGGCAGTCAGTAAAAAATCTTGACTGATTTCTGTTTCTTAAACAACATATTCCTATTGCAAACCACTTGCCAAAAGGACAATGCAATTGAACATAAAATGAATATAGTTATGGACATATCTTCTATATTGCTACATAACAATTTTAAAATTAAACATAAGAAAAGGCCTTCCAGACAATAAAAAAATAGGAAATTTACATATTAAACTGCTTCATATTTAGTGAGTTCATATATTTTATTTGACATCCTTATTCTTACCTTCCGCAAGTCTCCCTGTCTGTTCTGCACTTCCCCCAGGAAGAATCTTGGCAATATACGCTCCAATTTCTCCACTGTGTCCAGGAATTTCTTTACCACCCACAATTCTAATTCCTAATCCATTACCTGTATTGAAGAAGCAAAAAAATTATTATTAACAATTTAAGGAGGGAAAACAGTTATCACAAATTATAAGATGCAAAGCGGCTTTGCAGCCCAGAAGTTAACTAGAACATGGATATTGGAACTGAACACCAATTACAAAAGAAATTTTTAAATTTCCATAGTAGTTTATATAAAATAGAACTTTCTGAAATCTTTGTAGGAGCTGTAGTAATTAACCTGATATTAACAAATACTTTTTAAGTTCAGCTATCTTCAGTAACATACTTAGACTTTGTCCATATTAATAAATTATTTTGTAAAGAAAAAAAAAAAAGAATATGTTCCCAGTATAAGAAACTCCAGAGCATACACTTTACTTATAAAACTAAGGAGCATTTTGCTTACATAAAGATAGCAAAGACTATAATAGATTAAGACTGCATAATCCAAATATAGAGATGATTACAACTGACAAAGTGCAAACATGATGTAACATATGCATTATCATCATTGGTTCTTAAAATAAGAACAACAAAATATCCTGCATTTTTAAAAAATATATTTTTATTGATTTCAGAGAGGGAGAGATATAGAAACAAACAATAATAATGAGACAGAATCATGGATCTACTGCCTCCTGCATGCCCCTCAATGGGGATTGAGATGGATACCCAGGTATGTTCTCTGACCAGGAATCAAACTATGACCTCCTGGTTCATAGGTTGGCAACACTCAACTACTGATCCACACCGTTCAGGCAATACCCTGTATTTTACACATAAAGACAATAGGCTTTGCAAGGTTAGTTGCTCAAGGTAACATCCAATATATGGGGAAAGCTAGAGTGGGGTCCACACTCCCACGCCAAGTGAGTGACTCAGCGATGTGTCTCTTGTTTGATTAGTGCCAGTGCACCTGGTTGAGAATCAGAAAGGATGGGTATGGGACGGGCACAGCCAGCCCTTCGTTTACTCACTCCATTGTATAGAGGAGAGTGACGGAATAGATTGAAATCAGGCCATTAAAAGGAGAAACTACCAAGATATATTAAAAAAAAATGTCGGAAGGCATCATCTCTCAGTCAAGACTTAAAAGAAAAATAATACATTTCTGGCTTAGGCAGCCCACAAAACATACAGTATAACTTAATCTGTAACTAAAACTAATTAGTTGGATTATGCTTGTTTTTGTACTTCTATTTTTTCTCTTGATGAATTAATTTTAGCTTTATTTTTTAGTTTTACATTTTTAAAACATTTTTTAATTTTAGTATTTGTATTACAAATATGAATTGCATATAGATATTTTAAATTTTCTCTGCAACTTTTCATGTTGGGTACTATCCATACCATTTCTGGACAGAAAAGCTGAGGCCAAGGAAGGTTAGGAGCTTGCCTAGGTTGTCCAGCACATAAAAATGCTAACAAGAGCCCATTTTCTTGCTTGACTCCCACATTCTTGTTCTTCTGTACATATTAGCTCAGCACTCTAATTGTCAAGAAAATATTCTAGAGGGTCAAGGAAAATCCTTATTCTTTAATTGAATCTCATTTCTTATTGCCAGTTTTCCCATAGTCAATTCATACACATTTTATATTTATACCATTCAAGTTCATTGCTGTTAACACTATCCTCCTCTCCTCTGAAACATCTTTTTTTTTTTTAAATATATTTTATTGATTTTGTACAGAGAGGAAGGGAGAGACATAGAGAGTTAGAAACATCGATGAAAGAGAGTCATCGGATCAGCTGCCTCTTGCACATCCCCCACTGGGGATATGCCCACAACCAAGGTACATGCCCTTGACTGGAATCGAACCCGGGACCTTTCAGCCCCCAAGCCGACGCTTTATCCATTGAGCCAAACCAGTTTCGGCAAAGTGAAACATCTTGAATGCCTTCATCTTCTCCTCAGAGAATCAATTAATTCTTTTCATTTTATTGTATTAAGAGTGCATAGAAAAGTGTGTTAACTTATTCAGTTAGAAGCAAAGCCTATAAGGTCAAGTCCTTAGCAGGAACATGACTGTGCAAGCAACATTTATCCTGACAGATGTCTGTGGAAGTTAAGCTGTTAATGTAGAACTAGCCCTGATAATAAACACTTTCTCTGTTACTGAGGGAAATAAAGGCAAGCTTTTATTAAAATTTACCAGGAAGAAATTGTGGTTTTAGAAGAGATTCCACCTGACACTTATTACATTTCTATTGATTTATACTTTGTTTATTTCTACAAATAAGCTGAGAGGCTTACAATGAAAACTGAATCACATATTATCAATACATCGTTAAAATAAAAATAAAAGAGAAAAAGCCACCCTGAATGGGGAGGTAGTAATTTCGGGTCTCATGGCACATGTTCTCAAGGTGGCACACGCTTTCTTTGTCTTCCACATGAAGCAGAAGAGATGACATAATTGTTTAAAGGTCCTAGTCTGAGGCTTGATCTGCTATGAAAACAAAGATTTCTCAGAAATGTTCACATAAATGATGCGGGAGTAATATTAAGTGGGTCTTTTTAAAAGCATATTTTTAATTGATTTCAGAGAGGAAGGAAGAGGGAGAAACACATTAATAATGAGAGAGAATCCATTGATTGGCTGTCTCTTGAGACCCAGGCGTGTGCCCTGACCAGGAATCAAACCATGACCTCCTGGTTCACAGGTCCATGCTCAACCACTGAACCACTCAGGCCAAGCATGTGGGTCTTTAACTAAGCCACATTGTTGCTTCAGTTCCTCTTTATTTGATGTGCCACATTTGAGGACAGCAGTGCAGTCTTAAGCAACGAAAATTAAATTTATTAAAAAAAAAAAACTTGTGTGCCTCTTTTCATTATGGTTAAGCTTCTTTCAAAATTCAACTTTGAAGTAGACAAGAAAAAAAAAATTAAAAACCATTTGTTCCTAACTGGTTTGGCTCAGTGGATAGAGCATCGGCCTGCAGACTGAAGGGTCTTAAGTTCGATTCTGGTCAAGGGTATGTACCTTGGTTGCAGGCACATCCTCAGTGGGTAGTGTGCAGGAGGCAGCTGAATTGATATTTCTCTCTCATCAATGTTTCTAATTCTGAATTGATATTTCTCTCTCATCAATGTTTCTAATTCTCTCCTCCCTTCCTCTCTGTAAAAAATCAATAAAATATATATTGTTAAAAAACATTCCTTTACAAAAGAGGTTATATTTTCCATGGTTTCAATAATGCCCATCCTCTCTACTCAATTAAATTCCAACTCTCTGTCTTCCAAGTCCATTGTGATCTAGTCCTAACTTTGGTCCTATGTACACTGTGATATAGCAAAACAAAACAAAAAACCCAAGTACCAGTACTCTATGCTCTTGCATATTAAGTAGAGAAGTCATTGAAAGGAAATAACAAGACTCTCTCAAATTTCTGGTTGTTTACTTTGTTCCTGACCACAGTCCTCACAGGACCCTTCATGGTTGTCCTGCTCTGCTCCCTCTGTTGTGAACATACGTGACTAACAGACTGCTGTTGATCTCATCTCTCTGGCATCAGATGCTGTTTGGCCAACACCTTACTCTTGGAGAACCTCTCCCTCATTGTCTGACTGGATAGGAGGCAATTAACTAGTAAATACAGAATAAAATATCAGCTTGATATTAAATGTTATTAAAATGTGGCTTTTGATAAGAGACACTGCTGTTTTTAAAATTTGGTTTTTGAAGTGAGGTAATATATTTTTCTTAAGTTTGCATCATTTTACATTGCTACATAAACAGCAAATGAACAACTACAATCTTAGATTGGGAATGCAAATTGACAGAACTTGTCTGCTAATAAAAGATGTCTAGGAAACATCAGAAATACCCCTTTATTTTTACTCAGTAATTTTATTGTTGGAAATATATTTTAAGGAAATATTAAACACTCTGGAAGCATCTTTTCATCGTGGCATTGTATATAATAGTCAAAAGAAGAAGACAAAATAATGTCCAACAATTGAGGAATGGTTGAAGTAAATATCTACACAATAAAACCTAGCCATTAAACATATGTATGTAAAGAATATTTGATATAACAACAGGAAAATGACTTTACCAGGCAACTTGTGCTATATTAAAAATATGTATATAAACTACATTACAATATACTCTCAACTATCAGTGTGTGTGTACATGGTATAAAGAAAACAGGAAGGGGAAGAAGAAAATATAAATTGTAAAATTTTGATGGCTTTTATATTAATCTTTATACTTTTCACTACTATTATATTTTACAAAGAATCTGGCTATCTATCTATCTATCTGTCCATCTATCAACACACACACACAAATACACGCACATTTTATGTATATACACAAAGAAGAATGAGAATGATACGTGCATTTAGCTACTGGCAGCTGAGAACCAGATGAGAGGTTTGCTTTTGAGACCTCTAAGAGGAAACAGAGAAATAAAAATCTTCATGAGGAAATGGGGGAAAAGATGTTTTAATCTATACCACAGATAAAATTCTTTAAGCAAATGAAGAAATACAGTATAAAAATTGTACATGTGCATGCATATACTCACTCATATTTTGTAGCACATATTTGATTTTCAATATACGGTTTCTAGTATTCATTGTTTTATGTGTATCAGTTCCATTTCAAATATTTTGCGAATTCTTGGAAGCAGAATTCTTGCATAAGATTTTCCTATATCTGCCTCATATCTAGTTTAAGGTTGAATCTATATTTTATATAAAATATTTACTTGTTTTTAATTGAAGGAAATACCCTTTATGTAATTTCTTATTCTTTGAAAAATGTTAGAGCAGATTTAACAGATAAGGTGGCTAAATTGTGTTTTCAGTATTTTTATTGAGGTGGAACATGAGGGTTTACTTATTTTTTCTAATATTGGAAAAGATATATAAAATTATTGCTACCGTTCTATCTCAAGTCTGAATACTGACATATCTACATCACTTACAGAGACAGAAAGGAAATCTGACCTGTAGTAGGGAGAGGAATGTTGGGCATTGATACTGGTAGCAGGCTCAAGGGAACTTTGTAATGACTGAAATATTCTAAACCAGTGTTTTAGATTGTGGTGAAGGTAGCACAACTTCATAAATTCACTAAAAGTCATTGATTTGTGCACTTACAATGTGTACATTTATGGTATGTCCATTATACCTCATTAAAGATGGGAAAATAACAGTACAAATAGCTACCCATATTTGGTATTGTCATTAATTCAGAATCAATGAGATCCGTTACATTTGTCTCTTATTCCTGAAAGCCCACTAAGATGGTGAACTAATGAGAAATAGAACATGAGCCACTATTTCCACAAAGACATTGCTATTTTTTGAAGCTAAAAATTTTTATGTTCTTCAATATTACACTTGCTAATTAGCCTTTCTAGCCTTGCAGATGTAGCCAGTCCGTTATGGATCTATTTAAGCAATATCTTTTTTTTTTTTTTTTTTTTTTAAGCCAGAAGAATATTTTAGGCTTGTTTAAAAACAGCTGTGTTTCTAGAGCTATAAGATAGAGTACTAAGTAAAAGAGACTCATTTTTTTAAGCTTTACATTTTATTCTTTTTTTCCTGATAATTTCTAAGAGAAGGGGAAATAACATTTGCTGGGAGTTAGTAAGTACAAGATTTTGCACTAGGTTCAGTTATGTGAGATTCATAGAGCTGGTCTTACTGCTCTTATAGAGAAAAGTTATTACCAAAATTTACATAAGTAATAGAGCTGAACCTCAATTCTGGTCTTTCTGATTCTAAAATTCATTACCTATTCTCTCCATTTTATGGCCGTGTGTTTGGTTGAGATCACTTGATCTAAGGACACCTGAAAATTATATTTACCCTATAGTAATCAATATAAGGTAACCAGTACAGGGTAAATATAATGGAAAATATTTGAATTATTATTTTAGGGAAATATCAGAAGAAAATGGGATGTTCAGAGAGATGATGTAGTATACTATTAATAAACTTAATATTCAAAACAATAATCTTCATTTTTCATTCTGCAAAATCTATATACTGAGAAAATTGAATTTAGTTTTCAGACTACAATACTTAAGAGGAATCAATAGCTCTTACTTCTGCTATTCATATATTTAAAAAAAAATTTCCTAATTGTAGCAGAAGGAAACAAAATAATGAGTGGCAAAATATAACCAGTTGATGGAAATTATTCATATAGTATACAAATAATAATAGAGATAAAAATAGATACGTTGTAAGAGAGTCCTCATTATTTAGTAAAAATGGTTAGAATGTTTCTGTTTTAAAAAAATAATGTTTGTCATTGTTGGAAAGTATTATGTTGTTTTGCCTTATGAGCTGGAGGGAACTGAAATAATTTGTAGCAAGTAATTATTTCTATAAAAACAGTTAAGATTCACCCCTGGAATTTTCATCAGTAGTTAAAATACAATCTGTACACAATAAAACTATAAAGGTTGAATTATCTGTCTCTGGTGGAAGACAAATTACCCAATCTTAAAAGGGAAAGAACATTAGCCTCCTAATCGATTCATTCTTTATGAAAATAAAGACAGAAAAATTCTCAAAGCAAAACCTGTTCCATACGCACATGCTTCTGCTAAAACCTGTAAGGAACAATAGCAAGTACATTAAAAAACAAAACAAAAAAACACACACACACAGAAAAAAAACCCTCATTTTGTTTTTTGTTATCTCAGTCCTACAAAAAACAACAACAAACCCCCAGCACATTAACCATGCTGATTTGTCACCTATACAGATATCCATAATATCCTATCTAAGAAAGAGGGAATATGCTAATTGACCTTCATGCCATCACAAAGGTGGCAGTGCCCACAGCCAATATGGAGGGAATATGCTAATTGACTGCCCCACCCCCAAAGATGGCAGTGCCCATAGCCACAAGATGGCAGCGCCCAGTCTCTTCAGCCATGAGGAATCCCACAGTTCCCTCAGCCCCCCAGCTGCCCAGATCGGGCCGAGGTTAAGGAAGCCTCAGATGGCAGCTGCCCAGCCATCCAGGGCTGGCCCGAGGTGCAGGCAAGTCTCCGATGGTGGCTGCCTAGCTGCTCAGGGCCGTCTGAGGCTCAGGTAACCAGGGCTTGCCGAGGCTTGTGCTGCCAAAGTGGCAGCTGCAAAGGTGTGATGGGACATCACATTCCCCTGATTGCTGTATTACCTCTGAGGGCTGTGAGAGGAGGCAGGTTGGGCTGAGGGAACCCCCACCAGTGCATGAATTTTCATGTACCGGGCCTCTAGTATATATATATAAGAACTTAAATCTTTACAAATATTTTCTCTTGATGTACAGTGTAAATGAAACAGAAAAAAAGTATTAGAGTGATAACAGTTAGTACTTATATTTTAAAAATTATTAAATTTGACAAAATTTATATTTTGTTTCAAATTTAAATAAAAATTTTAAATTTATAATATAAAAATTCTATTTTCTTTCAAAAGCATCGAAGTCAGTAAACCCCAAGGAAGACTGGGGAACTGTCAGATCAGAGGAGATGAAAGTTGTGTGGTAACTAAAAGCCATGTGAGATCTGGATTGAATCCTGGAACAGAAAAAGAAAAACTTAGTGGTTGAGTGGAGAAACTCAAAATTTAGATAAGGTCTGTAGGTGTTTTAATAGTATACCAATGTTAACTCTTGGTTTTGATCATCTTATTGTGGTTAGATGTGAATCTTAGAAAAGCTGGGTAAAGGGTGGGAAAAAGAACTAAGTGTACTATTTTCTCAAGAGTCCAAAATTATTTCAAAATAAATCATTTACAAAAATTACATCATAAACTGGTTTACAGTAGAACACAGTTAAACAAAAACTCAGCATAATTAGTAATGTTCAAGGTATAGGGAAATTTTTTCCTTAGAAGACTCCAAGATAGCTTTTTACTTCCTGTGTAAGAATGTTTTATGGTCCCAAAATCAGTGACCATATTACACAATAGACCAATAATTAGGGAGTATTATAATGCCATGTATATTTTTAAAAATGCAGCTAATGAAAATAATGATCTAAATATGTACCATTTAGTAATTTGTCATATTAATGACCATGCCATTATTGTTTTTTATGTTCATATGCATAGCATGATTATTTTTTGAAATTTTCCAAAACAACTTTTTGACAAAAAAGTGTTTTCTAAAATTTATTCAGTTATCCAAACTGAAAATCAAATACATATATCAATTGACATTTTTTTTACCTGAAACTGTGTGATCCTTAGAGTCCCTTGTTATTTTTATCCTTGCATGAGGAAAGATATAGTGCACAGTCTTCCCATTCATCTGTATAATCTAAGACATACACGTGATAAGGTGAAAAATCAATGTTAAGACACTTAAAGTGCAATATGCAGAACTAGACATTTTAAAAAAGCATATTGAGTTAGTCAATAAAAACATAATACAAGTTTCTGGAATGATCATCACTGAAGCATCTTACACTATAACATTATATTGTTGGTTTCAATATTCATTATGGCATCAGAAACTGACTAACAAAATAGGTCCAGAGACATGGATTCATGGAATACTAGGGGTGTCGAACTCAATCAGAGAAGGGGCCAAAATCTAAAATCCAGCCTAAATCGCGGGCCGAATGGTTTACTGAACAGTCATAAACTGTCATTGTGATGGAAACGCAGCTGAGTGCAGTGATGACAGCGCGGTGCGGGCCACATTGCAAGGCCTGGCGGGATGGATTTGGCCCGCGGGCCTTGTGTTTGACACATGTGGAATAGACGGACAGATCTCAGAGGGAAGGGAAAGAGAGGAAAAGAGACACAGACAATAATGAGATAGTGAGATGAAGGCCTGGGGTGAGGCAAAGACTGGGTGGAGTGGGGCAAAGGAGGGGGGGAAAAGGAGGACATCTGCAATACTTCAGAAAAAGAAGTGTGTGGGTATACTAAACAAAAATGTTAAATAGAATTTTGAACCACAGAGATGTACATTTGGTGTAGAAAGATTCATTGGAATACTTATGTGGTTTTAATCTGTCAATACAACAGTAAAACTGTTAGAACTTTAGATATTAAAATTAAAATACAAATTGAAAAAAATACAAGCTTAAATAAAAAGCCTTCAGTTTTAATTCTCCTCAGGAAAGAATAAGCTTAATCAAATCTCTGATGAATATAAAATTTTCCCAAACAACAGCAGAATCCTGTTAACTCCAGGAATATTAGAGGAACTCTACAATCTAAAATACTGTTTGCAAGATTACAAAAATGTATGGCCAGTATAATCAGTCAATCTTGATAATTTATATTACCGTATTTTTCGGACCATAAGACGCACTTTTTTCCCCCCAGAAGTGGGGGGAAAAAGTCCCTGCGTCTTATGGTCCAAATATAGCCTACACATATACTTTTAAAAAAAAAGTTTTTTTTCTTGCCCGGCTCTGTGTGGTCTCTGTGTGCTTGCCCGGCTCTAAAATGGTTCTAAATGCTGCTGTTTACTTTACAGGGTTGATTACATGTGTTTATGACTGTGATGTTGGGTTTTAATGCACATAAAATATTTTAGGACACTATTTGTTTCAGAATCTTTTTTTCTTCATTTCCCTTCTCTAAAAACTGGTGTGTCTTATGGTCCGGAGCGTCTTATGGTCCGAAAAATACGGTAATACTAACTTTGCAATCCACTAAAAACCTCATGTATATTCAAAACAACTGAGTGTATATCTTCCTTTCATCCTCTTGCTTCCTGTTTTTTTTTTTTTTTTTTTTTTTTTTTTTTTGTTTTTTTTTTGTGTTTGTGTGTTTTTTTTTGGTTGTTGTTTTTTTTTTTTTTTTGGTTTTTTTGTTTTGTCTACCTCTCTCTTTTTTAAAAAGCAATTTCCCCCACTTGGTTAAGAAGAAACTAAGAAAACACAATGTTGCCTGTTGCTGTTCTTTGTATTCTCCAGAGTAAGAAGTACAACAGCTATAATCTCTTAGTGCCATGGTCGGCAAACTGAAGCTCGTGAGCCACATGCGAATCTTTGACTCCTTGAGTGTGGCTTTTCCACAAAATACCATGGCCTGGCTGTCAAAAGAAATTTCAGTTGTTGTACTGTTGATATTTGGCTCTGTTGACTAATGAGTTTGCCAACCACTGTCTTAGTGCATCTATTGCCCTTACTAGAAGCAGAGTAAGGTTTCCCAATTTTTTCATCAGAGCTTTATCAGCTAGCCAGAAAGGCCTTTCAATCTTTATTCCCTTACTTTCTCTCCTGTGCCCCATTTACTTTCCATTACATCATTTTCTCCTTCAATCTGTACCTGAAGTGATGTTGGTCAAAGAGATGTTAAACATCATTACCATAAATGTTGCTTTCAAAACATCTCATAGAATCTCCTGTAGTTTTAGAGATTGTCTACAACCACCTTCATGAATTCACTCGATACATTAGAAACATTAACCTGCCATAAATATGATCAATGTGACTGTCTGTAGAAAGAAGCGGTGTCTGTCTCCCATGTACAGCCCAGCTGGATCTTTGCTTTTTCCTAACCACTGCAGGTGAATGTTGAGTGAGTTCTCCAGCAGATGGAGTTTCAGGGAAGGTGCTGTTTCTGCCAAATAAGGAAGAGCAGGAGCAAGGCCAGAGGAGGCAGGACTGATGTCAAGTAATGGCACCTTGTCTCCCTAAGAGGCCAGTGTCTGATAGCATTGTATTTTGATGAGTCTGCACTGAGAAAACTGACCTATTGCCTCCCAGGAAAAAGGATTCTTCCTCTATCCCACTTTCACATATTTCAAAAGGAATTATTTTCATGAAATGAGCCTTCATACTTAGAAAAAAACAACACTTGCATTAACATATCTGTTAATGCAGACATTCATCCTTCTCTTTACCTCAACGCGAGGCATGCTTTTTCAGTATAGAGAGTGCTCTTTTGGTGTCCCAAGAACTGTGCTAAGCCCTTTGTACATGCTGTGGTGGATGCAATAGGGAATCCCTGCTGTCTAGGAGCTCATGTCTGTGACACGACTTATGCAGTATGACTGGAAGAACATTTGCCCATATTAGTGGGAGGTGTGAGTACCAAGGAAGGATTCTTGTAAGATGGGTCATATTCACGGGGACCTGATGATGTGTCCAGTTAGCCAAGAGAAGAGAGGTGGGAGAGCATTCAGGTGGAGGAAAAGAGGCATTCAAAGACCTAGAATCAGTGGAGCTTACTATATGTCAATATACCAATTACATGAGAACTGCAGGTGTGGGCATTAGTGCAGAGTGGAGGTATTTTGTACTGGTCAAGAAGTGTTGACCCATTTCCGATAAAAATAAGCAAACAGAAAAACAAGCAAAAAGAAGTGTTGACCTTTATAACCATCCTGTGAAGGATATTAGTCCTATTTATAGACGAAGTAACTGAGGACAATTTTTTCAAAAAGGAGATCAAGTAATCTGCTCAATTCACAAAGCAGAGTTGAATTTCCACCAAATGAATATGTATGTGTAAGTTTATATTTATATATCTACATGTATATTTAAAATAAAATTATATAAATCTGCAGATTTGGTTTACTCCTATAGTTACTGATTTTGATCTGATAAAAATGTGTATGTCTCTAATGTATGTTGTACATAGACTATTTTAAAAATCAGATACATTAGTATTTGTGTTAGTCAATTTGGTTTTATTATTCTTGCCTCCGGAGCATTTTATGGGCATAAATTTTGTTATGTATGCTTTCAAATAGAAGCATCTGGATTTATTGGTACTCAGAGCTCAATGTTACTTTTTTATAATTAGAGATGCAAAGAAGTGAATAAAATGAAAATGACATGTTGCCATTTTCTCTATGCCAAAATATAGCTATAATCAGTTAAAGGATAAAACAGTATTTGGAAATAAATATCAATGTAAAAAGGTATAAATTCTGAACTTATATAAATGTAATAAAAACACATGTTGTCTTTTAAGTAGCTTCTATTTAGAAAAAAGTATAAAGAAAAACAAAAAATATATATATTGTTACATAAATCAACATAGTTGTTTTTTGGGGGGGAATGGGTTGACTATTACAATCTGGAAGGGGCACATTGGGATTTCTAAAGGCAGGCCATGTTCCCTTTCTTGGTCTATGTGGTAGTTATATGGTTGTTCACTTTATAACTAGTTAAAAATTCTAAATATAATATTTGCAACTTTGATAACTACAGTTATAGTTTTTTTTTTGCATGTTAGATATAAAAATGAACATGTAAAATTATAAAAATGTAAAATATAACTTTTAGCAAATTACACAATAATCTAGCTATAGTCCAAACAGGGATCCTTACATTTTCTACTTTATTAAAAAACACAAGAAATGTATTAAGTGATTCTTAAAATTTGGGGTGATATTGGTCTCTAATTATACTATCCTATCTAATAAAGAGGGAATATGGTAGTTGTTCATCACACCCTCATAAAGATGGCGGCACCCACAGGAAGGGAAGGGAAGGAAGGGAATATGCTAATTGAATGCAATGTCCTCAAAGATGGCGACACCCACAGCCACAAGATGGTGGCACCCAGTCACCTCAGCCCCACTGGAGTGGCAGGCATGTGGCTCGGCTGAGCTTGCACCCAGGCGGATCTGGCCGCTCTGTGCTCCTGCCTCTGGAGTCCCCCAATCTCCTCAGTCCCCCAGCTGCCCAGGGCTGGTCCAAGGGCAGGCAAACTTCAGATGGCAGATGCCCAGCTGACACATGAGGCACAGGCAAACCTTGTAAGGTGGCTGCCCAGCTGCCCAGGGCTGGCCCAAGGCACAGGTAAGCCTTGGATGGTGGCCGCACAGCCTCCCAAGGACACCGAAAATCTGGTAAACCAGGGCCACACTGCCAGCAGTGGCAGCAGCAGAGGTGTGATGGGGGTGTTGCCTTCCCCTGATCACCGGGTTGCCTTCCGCCACTGAGGGCTCCCAAATTGTGAGAGGGAGCAGGCTGGGCTGAGGGACCCCCTCCTCCAGTGCATGAATTTTCATGCAATGGACCTCTAGTTTAAACATAATGTGCTATATGCTCAGTGGATCAAACTCATATATGATGCTAGTAATAGAAAATTAGGAGCAAAAGTGTCATTAGGGATATTCATGCTTATCTACAGACATTAGAAAGGGATTTTAGAAAATATTTTTTTGAGGTGCACACAGATTAGTTAAAATGTATTCTCCAAAAATATTAGTTAAATAAATAAGTTGAATAAGACTATTGTGAGTATATATAAAAACAGTAGTGTCAGGAAATAATTATACGGAAGCCACTAAATTTTTTTTAATACCTCCACTTTATGTATTTCATCCTATTAGGATTTTTGTTTTCATCTTATTAGGATTTGTGTTTTCAGTGACTTGATCTAGGTTTGTGGGAAATGCTAAACTTCAAAGAAACAAGTAATGATAGGTAAGGCATAATAATTATGAAGTGATTCTTAAAATACATTTAATAAAATTATTTTAGCTAACAAACTTACTATTTTAGTAACTATAGATGAAAATATGTAAATTTGCACTTTAAAAACATATTCAGAATTATTTTACTAATTTTATTATTCCCACCCAGATCTATTTGATGAGATTGAAATACAACTATAAATACAATTCAAGATAAGCTAAGAAATGTATAAATCAATAGTCTATAAATGAAGAACAAAGAAATGGAAGTGTATTCATATGTGCATAGAGGTAACACACCCCTAAAACAAAACTTATTAAAGATATCAAAAATTTTAAAGAAAGAATATTTGAAACACAAAAGTATCACAGAATTTCTATAAATGTAATAGCATATAGAAAAACAAAACACAAAAAAATTCTGATAAAAGAAAATTCTATTTAAAAGCTATAAATTTGTCCATGAAAACAGAAATTGCTAAGAAAAAAAATCTAAGCATATAAATATTGTCTTTTGACAGTACTTATTATTCATGCCAAAGTGTTTTCTTTTATACCTTAATGTGACAAACACTGAAATAAATTATAGTAATTTCATGGTTCTTTTTTGTTGTCTTCTACATCAATGAATTAGTAATCAGACAGGATGATTTGCGAGTTAATATATGTAAAATAAGTAACTTTCTCTTTTATGATTGTTTTAATGATGATTATGAGTAACAGCCTGCAAATATCTGATCTGTTAAAGCAATTATTGAAAGCCATTGGCTTACTAGAGAAATCTTTCTTAATTTATCCAACTGTTGATTTCCTATGTATCTTTCAAAATCCAACCAAAATATCACATCATTTACTCTAAAGTGAATAACTTCCTTTGGAATCATATTTAGCTAATTGTGATATTTATCTCTATATTTCAGTGTCTTTATCTATAAACAGGTATTAATAACACCTACTTTATGTGAGTTCTGACAATAAAATACAAAAATGAATACAAAACACTTCCATTCAATACACTCTAAAATATGTTTCCTTCATTCCCCAAGGGAGGCCTTCCATGTCCCAGCTAACTTGGTTTGGTCATCTTATTTGCTATTCACAACATATGAACACTCTGTTATTGGAAAATATTGAAAGTACCCAAATCTATTTCACCCCTTCATGTGTAAATTCTTTAGGAGCTTTAGGTATTCTACTTGAGTGTTGTGTCTGATGCAGAAACATTATCTGTTGGAGGGATGAATCACTTAAATTGCCTGGTAGAAGAATCACAGTTATGCTATCACATCCAACAAGTATATATATGCACGTGGCTGAAAAAGTAACCTAATTACTACTTCAAAATTGTAAACTTTAATGATGGAAGTTTAATGCATTTTAGTATAATTGAGACCATTCTACAATAGGATAAATTGTTTTGAAGGGGGCAGTATAAATCTAAAAGAGATTGCTCAATATAGTACTTACTTGCTCTTGATGTTGACTGAGTGGTCTAGAGTGGACCAATCTTTCTGGCAGTTTTCGATCCAGACCATGTCCATTTTCCAAACGAGACTCCCTGGGTTTGTCAAACCAATCTGTTTCTTCACGACGCAGATGATAGGCTTTGGGGACCAAGGAAATATAAAACACTGTAACCCCAACTAATACAAATGATAGAGGGCACAAATGTTCTGAAGCACAACATGCATTAGGCTTGTTAACCATTCATGCATTTCAAATACAACTCCAAATGGAGCAAAACCATTCCCAATACTATGTTTAAAAAAATATGTATCATGGAATAACCTAGAAAAAAAAAATCTACACACATGTGCAACCTCTCAGAGCCAAAGAAAACAAAAGTAGATTTTAAAAACTGGAAAAAAAATTGAGAGTGATTGAAATAAATAAAGAAATGAATATACCTTAGAAGTTATTTTATTCAATCATAGTTCCCACCTCCTCACCTCCTCACATCACCCATCTCTAGTCTAAAGAAAATGTACTCCTCAAATACAGAAGATTTTGTCACTTTCCCACTATCACATCAAACAAGTATATATAAGCTTTGGGCTGCTGGCTTTGAAAACCAAGTGAGTATTTTTTGAAAACATTTATGTTTTTATGACATTTATAAATAAAACATCATTTCTATAAGGATTCCAGGTATTATTGCTAGGAACAAATGTGCCATAATCATATGCTAGTCCTAGTATTAAGAACTAGAGGCCTGGTGCACGAAATTCATGCATGGATAGGGTGCCTAGCCAGCAATCAGGGCCAATCGGGGTCTTCTGGCTGCTGGCCAGGGCCTTCCTCCATTCTGTGCCACCCCTTGGCGGTCAATGCATATCACAGAGAGTGATTGAACTCCTGGTCAAATTCTCACAGGGACACTTTGCATATAGCCTTTTATATATATAGATATGTCATTTAGAATTTTTATTAAAAATAAAACCATTATTTTCTGTGAGATCTAGGAATTAGATTGAAGAGTTAATTAGCTTTCTTTTGTACTTATAGTGTAACAAAACTTGACATCTTAAAATAATTTTCTGAAAATACAACCAATTTTAAGTACATTATTATTATTTTAGTTCTTAGTACTTCCAGTTTTTTGAAGTTATTAGTGATCAAAAAATCTATTTTACTTAATATACAGAATTTAACTTTATACTTATAAAGTTTTATTCTTGGTTTTAAAAAAAATCCCTACTTAATAGTCTTTGGAAATATTTTGTTGCTTCCTAAATGGGAGATGGAAAAGCTTTGTTAAGTGCTCATCCTAAGAGATTGGTTGGTGATAATATCAATCTATTCTTCCTGGAAAGTTACTTCTACAGTGCCACACTGTTGAATTCTATAATACTATAGCTTTCTCTTAACATCAAATACCTGATTGCCTTCTCTTTCAAAACTTCTTCCCATGACTTTTTTAAAGGCGATTTTTATTATTCGTTTTTCATTACTTATTACAAACTCACAGCATGTACACTATACTTATTTCTACCTCTTGTGATCCTGGTCAAAGATAGTAATTAACCACTACATTTCTAAAAAAAAAAAAAAAAAAAAAAAAAAAAAAAAAAAGGAAAAGATGAGAAATGTGTCATAGTTCATTCAGTCAGTCTTAGATTTTATGAAATACACTGATATGAGTTGTATATGTACTTCTCTGATCTCCCATATTAGGTTCTAAGCTGCTTGAGTGCAAGGCTCATATCTTGATTTTTATTTCCTTCCCTCAACACTAAAAACAATGCCTTGCATGTGATAACATTCAATAAGTATTTATAAATTAATAAAACAGAAAAATTAGCCATCAACTAGAGAAAAAAGTTAAATATCCTAATTATAACATGCATGTTTTAAAATAAATATTAAACTGTCCCTTGGACTTCATTAATAGTTATACAATCATTTCTTATAATCTACTGGATATTTATGGTTTTTCATAGTTTTAATTAGACCTGAATTGACTAAATTTATGAAAAATATTTATCAAAATTAGTAATAAAATTTGATAAGCAAATAGAGAACAAATCCATTATTTAATCATCAGATTAAAATTTTATGATTGTCTCAACACCAACACTATTTTACCTTACTTTTTTATATATTTATCTTAATAAAAGAAAAAAATAATCTATACTGATTTTAATAAAAGAATATATTGGATAATGCAATACAGGATTTCACTTGAATATATAATTCTGCTAATTGAATTTGAAATACAATCCTTTAAAACATGTTTTATTGGCTATGTCTATACAAAGAAGACATAATCCCAGCTTACTCCAAATGTTGTCAATTTATTTACATTTCTAATGATATACTTTGATTGTCTGACACTAATTCTATGTGTACATTAGGATGTATATCATGACTTTCATAGGAATTTATAGAACCACCTGAAAAACCTGATTGAATATCTGCTTTCATATTAAACTGTCTTTATTATTTATAGTAAGTTAGATATAAATGCTAATTATTTATAACTACAATTAACTTATTAGCCATGGTAGATCTTCACTTTAAACATCAAATTTTATAATAATAGCATTTTCCAAATTAATTTAAATAATTTGCTAGAGATTAACATTTCCCTTTTTTAGACTGACTGCTATTTTCTTGTATTTTTAAATGTAAAATATAAAAGTAAGCTATTTTGGGATCTAGCATTATTCACAGCTAATTATTACATGAATAGTTTAATTCTATTTAGATTCATTCAAACTAGTCATTACAATAGCCAGTACAGAAGTGATTAGTTGTTAGAATTTCACTAGAGAAAGCAGTTTGTCCTCCAGATCCTGTGATTACTTTAGTCCTTTTCAAATCTAGATTTGAATTTCTAAAATCATACTGATGGCTAGATACAGAGGTAGGAAGAAAATCCTTGTCATGAAAAAATATTTTCCTGTGAGTTCTCCAAGAAAATGTATAATTTAAAAGGGGAGATATTCATGTTAGCTTAGTGCTTTGCAGTCTCCAAAGGCATGAAGTAATACACTTTTATTTGATCAAGAATATTTTATTTCCATGACTCAAAACCATGCCTACATACAAGTAAACCACAGAGGACTCCTGATCCAGTTCTCTTACCATGAGTAAGCCTCTTTACATCTCTATAACTCTATTCCCTCATCTTCAAAATTAGATTGGGACTAGGTAACTTTCTAAAATATTTATGGTTATATATGATTAAACCACAGCAACGAAAACACTGTAGGCTAGTTTTTAGTTAGGTATGTATGTGCCTTAAATCACTTATTCAATATGAAAAACAGTTAAACAATTTAGGGCAAAAAAAGGGATGATGCAAAAAGCAAAGTCAAGGAAAATACTAAACAGGTACAATCTGGAGGGGTTCAGCTTCAACTAAGTAAACTCATAAAAGCACTGTGCAAAATTTGAATTGTAAACATAAAAAATACTTTTAATATACTGATAAGATTATTTATTGTCAATGTCATATTCTGTGTTAAGTTTTCTAGTATATAATGCAAAGGTACAGACTTGGCAATTATGGTATTCATATTGAGAGAGAGAAAATACAATCGTTTTACTTAAGAAGAATTATAAAATTCTTCATTATACTAGTATTATTTGAGAATATTCTCTCAATTAATAAGTATAGTCTCACAAAAATGACATAAGTAATTTTCTATTACAAAGTCTAGCAGAATAGTACTTAATGGCTTGAAACCTTAATAATTTCACAAACTAAAAGAAACTGACAATTTTAAAAAGAAAAGAAGACAATTAAAATGTTTCCAACTATTTAGCAAATTATGAATTTAAAGAATTACCATTTTATTGACACAATTATTGATAATAATTTTAGAAAAGAGGACAGTGAACAAATCAAGCAATTAAGAAACACCAATAAAAGAAAAATCTAAAAAGAAATAAAGAAAAACATGCTATAAAATTTATACACAAGATACAATTTCCATTTACAAAAACTAAAATTAAAGTAAACATGCAAAAGACAAACCAAGAAAAGTACAATACATTCTTAGAGAGGGAAGATTAAACATGCAGAAAAATAAGAGTCTGAGTTTTGAGAGTAACAAGGAATTCTGAGGCCCAATTTACCTTCACTGTCTGACATGGCATGTTGGAAGTCATCCATGATGAAAGCTATGTCACGGTCATAGCCTCGAGTCCGTGATTCTTCTCTCATGTGTTGCTGAACTTCAGGCAATGAGTGACTTGATCCAAACTGATCTCTGGTGTCTGCAGATATCGGTGGCAGGGGTCCAGCTGCCGCCCTGGCCATTCCCATTGGCTGGCCAACAGGACTGAGTGGACTTTCTTCTTCAGAATTCTGGGCCACAATTGGTATTCTTCCTCTACTCTGGCTAATTGGCAAACTGGTAGGCTTAGTTCTGCCAGAGGGTGATGCATGACCAAAGGAAACATCTAGAGCTTCAGCTTCTTGAGCTTTCAGTCTTAGAGAAGAACTGGAAGAATCTCTTTTTATTGATAAATCAAGCCCGTAGACAGAAGAAGGTCTGGAAGAAGGTCTGGACCTGCTGCCACTGCTGTATGGCTTGTCCGCTTCATCCTGCAGAGCTGACCGTATGGTATTCCCTAATGTCCCCAGTCCTGAGCTAAGAGATGATCCCACAAATTTTTGTTGGTCTGTAATATTTTTTCGGAGGCCAAAAGTGATTTCATCTTGAAGAAGCCTTGCTCTGGAAGAGATTCCACCAATAGAAGAAGTGCCAGAGGTCATATAGCTTGAATAATCAGGTTCAAGGTCTCTGCTTTCTTGAATGGGTGAAAATTTTGACATTTTAGGGTCAATTAGTGATTTCTTATGCTTTGACTGCTTTTGATAGAGTATGGCTGCTGGAAGTTGTTTTGCTGCTTGTTTTTCAAGTGTGAGTCTACTAATGCTGTACTTTTCTGATTTGGGAAAATGTCTATAGCTAGTATCACCATGGTAATAATGGGAAAGACCGGCCAGGTGATCGAGGCTCTCTGCCCCTCTACGGAATTCTTGTTTAATCTGCTGCTTCAGAAGCTTTAACTCATAAGGATCCTCCATTGGATCTTCCTCTGCTTTCACATAACTATGCAATCTTGAGGAAGTCTGCAGAGGTGTTAGGAAATCGGTCACTTCTTGAGACCTCCGTGTTTCAGTGGTTCTAAGGAGGCGGTCTGTTTTGGACAGATCCTTTTCGTGAAGATTAAATGCAGTGGTTAACGCTGCTGTTCCTTTGGTAATCTCTCCAATGTCATCAATTAGGACAAAATTCCGTGAAGTATGGTGGTCAATATCTGCGTAAAAGGAATCTCCAGAAATGCTTGATATTGGACTGCTTGCCATGCTACTTCTCTCCTCCAACCCCATTCTCAGGTCTAGGCTATTGTACTTACTACCAAGATGGGAAACGGCGTATGTATTATCAGTAGAAACAGGTGCTATCATCAGGGGCTGGTTTCGAATCACCTCATAGTTTGAAGTAATCTTGGGCTCCAGATATAACGTAGTTTGCCGTGGCTTTTGTTGTATCACCATCATCTGTGATGGTAACTGGTAAGAAGGTTGTGGGGCTGGTGTAGGTTGAGCTTGAGGTGTGAAGGACATTGTTGCCACAGCTTGGAATGTTGGCTGAGTCTGATAAGGTGAAACCTGCTGGTGGTACAGAGTTTGTTGCTGAAAATGGGATTGCTGGGTGTATGGGGTGGGTGCCTGGGTAGGAAGAGCAGGAGACGAGTATTGGTATTGTGTGTAAGGACTCGTAGGAGGAACTAGCTGAGATTCTGTTTGGGTTTGTGGGGGTATGAACTGGCTGAATTCGGTTTGGGGAGCGGTTCTCGGTCGCTCTATGCCATGCTGACTTTCTACTCGGGATGGCCTGGTGCTGCTCACCTCACTGTCAGACATGTAATCCCGTTCCTCAGCCACCCCCTGGAGGTAGGCTCGCTCTCTCTTCTCTCTCTCCTTTAACAGTGCCTCCTTCCTCCTGTTAATTCCCATTTCCAGGTACCGTAACTTGGCGTCTATCTCTTTCTCTTCCTCATCAAGCTCTGCTTGTTTCTTTCTAAGTTTTGCAGACTCTCTCTCTACAAGATCAAGTTCTCGGTCTATATCCTGGAGAATCTTGGCACGTGCCATTGTGTTGGTTCTGCAGATCCTTCTCCTGGAAGCTGTGCCCATTGTGCTGTATGTTGACTGAGTCCCTGTGGAGGTCTCCTCAGGAGGTGGGTTCGGCAGAGTTCTCTTCACTTTTTTCTGGGTGCCAGAGGGTGTTGTGGTTTGAGAACCTTTTGTCTGTAATTAAAGAAACAAAATATAGTACTTTATTATCAAGAAAAAATTAAAGATAAAAAACCTTCCCCCTTTACATTTAAATAAATATGATTTCATATATGTTTTAGGTATGACAATATAATACAATAACATTTTTATATATAATTTCACATATTAGCCACAAGTGCAATTAACTGAAAAATCATATTTTCTTTCTTGGTAGATTGGCTTTTTATTATTGTAACTTCTACAACTTTAGAAGCTAGTTTTGGAATCAAGCACAAAACTCATTACTAGGCAGACATATATTAGAATCTTAATGATTAAGTTAGAATCTTAGGAGAACTCTAAAAACTGATTTTCCATCCTATTTAATATAAGATTATTTATGGAATATAATCCTAAAATATTTGTATTAATTATCTAAAGTTTAAGTTACATTTGTTATGGATAATGCTTATTTGCCACTAAGTTCAGTTGTTTGCCTCAATCTTTCAGTTCCTATTTTTATTCCCTAAAATAGCTGTCATTTCTATTCCAATCATGAAATGTTTTGGAATTAAACCCTCAAGTTCTTTAACCTTTTTTTTCTCCAAAAAAAAAATAATGTCAACTAATTTCCCATTTAATCTTTCAATATTTATGTGACTATTTGGATCTTTTATTTTCTTTCCACTTTATTCTTTTTTTTTTTTTTCATTTACCCCCTCCACATCTACCCCCCTCTAGGCCTTTGAGGCACTATTATCTGTGTCCATTGTATGCCTATAAATTCTTTAATATCTTTCAGTATCTCCTCTCCTCTTTCCTCCAAAGGAGGATTATAAACTCGCATCAATTAATGCAACAGTAAATGCTGAACCTAAATGCAGAGAGAAAGCATACAAAACAAAGATAGTAACTATGGAATGGAGTAAATAAATAGAATGAAAAGGAATTTCTAGAGTGGATACATACATTTTTAAATTATTTTTAAAAAATATTGAAGGTATACATTAAATGGGTGCACATATTTGTTAAATGAAAGATTGAGAAAATAAAAGGGTGAAATAAGAACTTTCTGTGATTAATTTTAAAAGTCCTGAGTCATGAAGGGAATTTCTTAGAATTCAATGAGTAGAATGAGAGTATACATGAAATCATAGGAAAAACTAGAACAACGAGGAACCACAAAAGAAGACTATTTACTGAATTAAGAGTAATTATTAATAAAGTGAACTAGAAATTGATACTAGTTTTTACTACTTATTGTTCATACATGTATGAATTATTTCCTAATTTAACTTTATGAGACAGTAGGCTTAGTCAAAATCTTTTTCTTTTGCTAATGAAATCCTAGATTAAAGAAGCATTCCAGGTATTGGGGATTTCTAATTATCCTCCAGAGTTGCAAATATTTGATCATTGATGACTTGTGTTAATATTTTGTGTGCCATTGATGTGAGTCATGAAAGCAAGAGGATTAACCAATTAATGCAACAGTAAATTACATACTCACTGAATTAGCCTAGATAGCCTCCACAGATCGTACTAGCCTTGCTGTTATCCACTTGCCAACATTACTAGCTTTTACTCTGATTATAGAAATAATGAAAAATATGGGAATGGCTCCAGGTCTCTGCCATATTTCTTATAAGTGATAGGGAGTGTAAAATAGTGATAAGAGCTTGTTTAAGCCGAAATCAGTTTGGCTCAGTGGATAGAGTGTTGGCTTGCGGACTGAAAGGCCCCAAGTTCAATTCTGGTCAAGGGCATGTACCTTGGTTATGGTCAAAGGTAGGGGGTGTGCAAGAGGCAATTGATCGATGATTCTCTCTCATGGATGTTTCTAACTCTATATCCCTCTCTCTTCCTCTCTGTAAAAAATCAATAAAATATATTTTAATATATTAAAAAAAAAAAAAAAAAAAAGAGAGAGCGAGCTTGTTTTAATCCTGGTTCTGCCTTTTGTAAACTGTGAAATCTTTAGCAAGCTGCTTAAACTCCCTGGGCTTCAGTTTTCTTATATGTAAAATAAATTTAATATTTATCCTTACATTATTGCTTTAAGGAGTAAATGAGTTAAAAAAAAAAAAAAAAAGAGTCTAAATTACTTATTGTCCCAGAGGGCAAACAGAAATATAATTGAGAATCTAAAGTGATGTCTTGGCAACTTATAATTTAAGAAGGACTGATTTTAAAGACCATAAAAAATTTCTTTCTGCACAGCAAAAGAAACCATCAACAAAACAAGAAAGCCCACTGCATGGGAGAACATTTTGCCAATGCTATCTCTGATAAGAGTTTGACCTCCAAAATTTACTGGAAACTCATACAGTTTAACAAAAGGAAGATAATTCAATGAAAAAAAAAATGGGCAAAGGACCTAAATAGACCCTTTTGAAAAGACATACAGAATGCCAAGAGACATGTGAAAACATGCTCAAAGTCATTAATCATCTGAGAGATGCAAATCAAAATGACAATGTAGTACCATCTCACACCTGTCAGAATGGTTATCATCAACAAATCTACAAATGAGAAGTGCTGGTGAGGATGTGGAGAAAAAGGAACCCTTGTCACTGCTGGTGGGAATGCAGACTGGTGCAGCCACTGTGGAGAACAGTATGGAGTTTCCTCAAAAAACTAAAAATGAAACTCCCATTTGACCCAGTGGTCCCACTTCTAGGAATATATCCCAAGAAACTAGAAATACTAATCAGAAAGGATATATGCACCCCCATGGCCATAGCAGCACAATTTCCAATAGCTAAGATTTGGAAACAGCCTAAGTGCCCATCTGCAAAGGAATGGATTAAAAACTGTGGTACATCTATTGATACATAATGGAATATTACACTGCTATAAAAAGAAGGAATTTTTACAATTCGCAACAGTGTGGATGGACCTGGACAGCATTATGCTAAGCAAAATAAATCAGAGAAAGAAAACTATCACATGATCTCACTCATTTGTGGAATATAATGAACAACATAAACTGATTAACAAAAATAGATCCAGAGACAAAGAAACACTGAACAGACAGTTCAACCTCAGAGGGAAAGCAGAAGAGGTGGGTGGGGTGGGGTGGGGGGTATCCTTTTGTTAAGGGATAAACCAAAGGATTTGTATACATGCATATTAGCATAACTACAGTTTTTAAGCTACTTATCTGCTTATGGGCACTTAGGCTGTTTCCAAATCTTAGCTATGGTGAATTGTGTCTGTATGAACATAGGAATGCATATATCCTTTCTGATTGGTGTTTCTAGTTTCTTGGGATATATTCCTAGAATAGGGATCATTGGATCAAATGGGAGTTCCATTTTTAGTTTTTTGAGGAAATTCCATACTGTTCTCCTCAGTGGCTGTTCCAGTCTGCATTCCCACCAGCAGTGAAGAGGGTTCCTTTATCTCTGCATCACTGCTAGCACTTCCCTTTTATTGATATGTTGATGATAGCCATTCTGACTATCATCAATGAGATGGCACCTCATTGTCATTTTGATTTGCATCTCTCAGATGATTAGTGACTACATCAAAATAAAAAGTTTCTGTACAGCAAAAGAAACCATCAACAGAACAACTAAAAAGACCACTGCATGGGAGAACATATTTGCCAATGTTATCACCAATAAGGGTTTAATCTCCAACATTTGCAGGGAACTCATACAACTTAACAAAAGAAGGATAAACAACACAATAAAAAAAAAAAAAAAAAAGGACATTGGACCTAAATAGATACTTTTTGAAAGAGGACATAAGAAAGACCAAGAGACATATGAAAACATACCAAAGTCCAGGCTATTTTAAACAATTGGTTTCTCAGGGGAATCAATTTAAACCATCTATCTTACATGTAAAGGAAAATATTTTTTTCTTATTCTGAGTGTCAAGGCTATTTATAAAAGTAGCTAAGGTACACTATCCTAAGAACTTCAAGTATATGTATATGCATTATCTCATTGTCAAAATAATCTAAACTTAATCTAAGGATGATTAAAGGGTATAGTTGCACACCATGATTAGAGATAACAATTCCCTCCCTCCCCCAAAAGTGAAGATAAAAATAGATGCTGGATCAAAATTATTTATCAATTGTTATATATAATAAATATGGCAAAAATCAATTTACTAATTTATTCCAGTAGTTGTTAAGTATAATTCTAAAATCCACTATTCTAGATACTAATAGCATAGACTAGAGTAAAAAGGCATGTGATTAAATGAACTTAAAAGATGTTTTCAAAGAACTCACAAAATTAGGAAATTTTTTTATAATGTATGAAGAAACTATTGATATTTCAGTCTTTTGCCAAATATAGCTCTTGTTAATATCAGAGACATAAAGAGTTAGGAGTGTATTTTTCATTTTATACATATATAGAAAACTATACCTGCTATTGGAAATCAATGTTCATAAAGATTAAATATCTTGGATTTTTAAGATTGTTCTTTCAATGAATGAGAAATATTTTTATGAAAGCCTTTTACTTTTAGATAATGGAGCTGTGGATTCACTTACAAATAGTACATATCCATACATATTTATTGATAAATATGATACTTTGATGAGATAAATATTGTATAACCTATTAAAAGGTCATCAATATACCAAACTAGAAGGTGAATTTGAAATTATATAAATAGAGTGTATTAGGATATAGAATAAGAAGAGTTTCCTTTCAGTTTAGGGAAGGAAGGATGGATTAAAACATAACAACTAGCCGGTTCTTAAAGAATGGATGGGAATTAAATAGGAGTATATTTTATACTGCTCTTTCTATGGGAGAGAGAGCAGTATAAAATATAATTTATCACAGAGGTACCAATGATTATTTCCTTTAATTCATCCTAGTTATGAATTAATAGCTGAGAGATGGAAACACATTCAGGGAGTATCTAATGTAAATCTGGAAAAAAATTTATAAAGAATACCTTGAATAGCCGTATCTATTTTAGAAGTTCCACTCATACATTTTCTTCTTTTACAGTTAGAAAAGGCAATCCTAGATATTGCATACTGACCACATTAACTCCAA